GCCCAGTGCTACAACCCCCCCCCCCCCCCCCCCCCCCGCTCACTTATATATGTTTTTTTTTTCTGAGCTAAACTCACTGACTGATAACATCTATGTTCACCACAATTGAATTCATTCATTGTACGTCGTAATTAGTAGTTATTTCATAGCCATGAAACTGGAGACAAAAAACATATAATACAAATGCAAGGTACAGTGATGAAGTTTGAACTAAAACCCAAAAAGAGGAAAAAGCTTCATACAGAAGAGAGGTTTTACAGAACACTTACTCACAGCACATGTTGATATTACGAGATGCGACAGACACTCTCCCACGGCGGTTTAAACCCAAACCCCCTCCCCAGACTCCCCCTACAGTGATTCATCTGATGCTCTTGCAGCCAGTCTGAAAAACATTCGTGGACCCAAAGCAAAACCATGTGGCTCAACCAAAACCAAAGGGTCGATAAATCTGTTTTATCCAATTTTCTTCATATTCTTCAAATTGCGCAGTCCTAGGTACAAAAAAAATATAATAAATAAATACATAAAATCCTCTTAAAACGATTTAATAACAGAATAAGCTCGCCAAGGGCAAAAATCTCTTGCCAAGTAAACAAATGAAAAAACAAAAAAAAACCAAAAAAACAATTGAATAAATTATTGTGGAAACCCAAAACTGTCGTCTCGTCTCGATGAAGTCACACTGCGATGCTGAGTGACACCACGTTGTCATGGCAACGTGTAAATCCCCCTGTCCTCATAAACAAAACATCCAGCATCGCTCCCCCCCAACCCCACACTCTGATCGTGTTCCTGGCAACGGGACGCTTGGGGGTCTAGGGGCGCGGTTGACGAGGAAGAGAGAAGACAGATGGGGGACACACATCCATGACAGCATCAGTCAACATGGCACCCAGGGAAAGATGCAGAGATCTGAGCGCCCCCCCCACCCACCACCCAACCAGTCACCCTGAGGCAGAGAATCTCACATTCATTCCTTACTTCTTAAACAATTAGCAAAGCCCTCCTACAAAAACCTGAGACTTTCCATGGTGGGTCATGTAGCCTTTGCAACCTTCTGCTGCAAGTTCTCTGACCCACTTGCAGGAATGCAGGCCGCTGCCCACCGTCCGCGGTGGATCTCGTGCCGCCAATCACAGACCGCGGCGCCCAGAGAATCTGCCCGCCCCTGAAGGCAGGACGTCCACACACGCGGTGCGGGAAGACAGATGTCACACTCATCATTGCCAGTTACTCCGCCACCGCATTCCACTTTCTTTACACTCGGTGCTGTCTTGTGTTATTCATGAAACATCTACTTGAGTCTGAAGGAAACCAGTCGCATGTGTCCCATATAAAGCAACATATTTCTGCCACTGAAGTCAGCACTTACTGGAAGCTAGGGCCCGCAGGAGGTGAAGGGTCAGGCGGACAATAAGGAGCGCATCGAGCAACTCCTGCTTTACCATCTTTTTTTGGTAATCCGCTCCCTCTCCCCCTAAAGCTAATTTTCCCAAGACAAAC